CAAACATCTCTAATTTAAATTTTCGTATTTCTGTTTTATTCGTTCCTTTTTTAAATATTTTTCAAAATCATGAAAATATAAACTCGAATTGAAATAAATAAAATAACGGCAAAAGATGTTATTTATCCCTTGTTGTCTATTATCTATTCCGAGAAGGGGATTGTAATCGTTTCACGCAATCCTTCGAGCGATTCCATTGTTCGTCGCAATCGATTGGGTCACCGAAAAATGGGGAGATCTTGGAAATGAAATAATTAATCGGTATATCTAATCGATCGAGCGCTATAACGACAGATAACGCGATCCATAAGATCTATCCCAGATTGATTTTCAATAGTCATCGAACGACTGTTAATCGGCCAACAACAATGAAGAGATTCCCTGCGATATTCGTGCTCGTTGCACTTTGCTTCGCTTCTGGGGCATTTGGTAACTAACTAAACTTTTGTCACGATTACTCGTTTCAATTTCCATCCATCGCAAATTTTAATTAATATCACGCTAGAAAAGTTAAACTTTTACGTTTCAATTATAGAAAAAAGTATAAATAGTTTGAAGTAACTTATCCTTTATATCGTTTATTTTCCAAATAATTATCGATCGTATTATTCAGCATTATCGTTTTGATATAATCCCATCGCGTTAAATCCTAAAATACCGAATATTTTAAATTCGAATTTTAATCTCTTCGATTGATAAAGAGGGGAGAACAAATTTTTTTGAATCTCTTACGTGATATATCTATGTATATATATATATGAATAATGAGTAAAAAGAAAAAAAAAAATTTCGCAATCGATCGATGCTACTGGAAACACCTAAGACCGCTCATTTTACAGAAAAATATATATATATTTGCTCTGCCATATTCTAAATCTCGGCAAATATGCCTAAGTATCCGACGAGTTGAAACTCGTCGTCGTTTCAAACTGTTTACTTTTGTCTTTGAATCTTTTCTTCCTTTTAACTCTCCAATCGCCAATACCGATGAAAGAAATTACTAGGAGGGAAGAAAAAAAAAAAAAGAAGAGAAGAATGAAAAGATAAACAAGGAATTTTTCAGCATCGATAAAAATTCATATATATATATATTGTAACATAGGTTCTGTTTATTTTTTCCCCTCCAATCATTACCACTGCGAATGATTAATCACTTTTAGAAATAACCACCTGGTCGAACCATTAACACCATCGTAACACTCGAGCAAAGTTTACATCGAATAAATTATGATGAAACATTCTCGCCGAATATTTCTCGCCAAGATAATTCTTTCTTCAAATTTTTATCCATTTATTTCTCCTTTTTCCCATTCGACAGCGAGGAAAGGATTCGGTCCTGGAGAACAGGAATGGGGATACGTGAAAGTACGATCCGCCTCGCACATGTTCTGGTGGCTCTACTACACCACCGCTAATGTGTCCTCCTATTATGAGAAACCGTTGATTATCTGGTTGCAAGGTGGGCCGGGAGCATCGTCCACATCGTACGGAAACTTCGAGGAGCTTGGCCCTCTGGATGTCGACTTGAAGCCGAGAAACTTCTCCTGGGTAGGGGGCGCGATTGTTCCACGCGAACAACTGTCCAACTTTTGCTATAATTTAATATCTAAACGCGCATGCGTATTACCGCACTCCCTTCTTCCCTTTTTCCATTTGGAATAATATAAATAAATGGAATAATATAAACGTTGTGATTGAGATATCGAGTGATTCGGGTAACAAGTTATAAAAAGAAGAAAAAAAAAAAAAAACAACTTGATTTCGCAATTTGGTCGTTGGAAAGTCATCAATCTTCTTAATCGAATTTTTATCGAACGTTTCAATTAATTATCGAAAAGTCCATTAATTAAGAGTTAACGAGTATATTTTTATATTTTTTTAAATTTCGAAAGCCATACGCGTGTATTTGAAGAAATTTCGAGAGACAAATATGTTAACATTACGATCGAAATCGTTCCGAATTTAAGAATTAAATTGATTTAATCCCAAGATTTAATATTTTTCTTTTTCTAGATTCAATTTCGATCGAAGAATTTATTATTATATTTTTCATCGTATCGTGGGATATTACGGATAAAAATATTAAAAAAAAAAAAAAAATTACGCAGGTGAAAGACTACAACGTCCTCTTCATCGACAACCCAATTGGTACGGGGTTCAGTTATGCCACGTTGTCGAGCGGATTCGCGAGAACAAACGCGGAGATTGCTCACGATCTCGTCGAATGTATGAAAGGTTTTCTGAAAGAGTTACCGCAATTCCAAGACGTGCCCACGTATATCACGACCGAATCTTACGGAGGGAAAATGGGCGCGGAATTCGCTCTTCAATGGTACAAGGTGATGTTTACGATTTTGTTTTTTTTTTGTCTCCGTAAAATTTTAAAAACGATCGCGAAGAGGCATATTTCTTGAGATAATCGAACGAACGTTAAGAAGGTTGTAAATCAAAACGCTTACACGACTTCGACACTTGTTAATGGGTTAACTTTCATCCCGCATTCGTGTCGATATATCGTAAAACTGTTTACGTGTCAACCTCGCTATTACTCGAGGTAATAAAAACGCTCGTCGATATCTAGAAATTTGTATCGTTTTCCTGGTTATTTACTTTCTAAACTGCAGGCGCAGCAAAGGGGAACTATCAAGAGCAAGTTGAAGGGTGTCGCCCTCGGTGACGCCTGGATCTCTCCCATTGACTCCGTCATGACTTGGGCACCCTTCCTACTCTCCACGGTATGACAGTTCGTCTCCTTAATTCTTTCAAGCGATCCATTTTTTTTTTTTCACCAAGTTTCAAGTAGAAACGTTTTCGTTCTCAGGGTATGGTGGACACCGAGGGATACAAGAAGATCGATGAAGCGGCTCAAAAGACGAAGAATGCTGTGGAAACGAAGAGCTGGAGGGTAGCCACGATGCTGTGGTCCAACGCGGAGGCGGTGATCAACGAAGTTACCGATAACATCGATTTCTATAATATCTTAACGAAAATGGAAGCCAGCGGAATGCGTTCCCTCGTGGCGAGGATCCGTTCGAAACCGTTCCTCCGAGGTAAAATTGTATTGTACATAATGTGTATTATACATTGTACAGTGGAGTTTCTAACATTCTGTTATTATTCGAATATTTCAGAATACGCCACGTTCAACGAAGTTTCGTTGAGTAGGCTTATGAACGGACCCGTGAAGAAAGCTTTGCAACTTCCGGTCAACCACGGCGACCAATCCGATTTGGTATTCGAGAAGTTGCAAGAGGATTTCATGAAACCTGTGGTCAATATAGGTATTAACCGAAGTAAATTGTATTAGGGGCTTTTTTTTTTAAACAGGATTAATTTTTAATTTATTCCAGTCGAGGAATTATTGGACAAAACTGATATAAAAGTTGCGGTAATCACCGGTCACATGGACCTCATCGTCGACACTCCAGGTATATTTTATTTATTTATTATTTATTTTCCTGAGTATATTAGTCTATATTAAATTATTTCTTTCAATTTGGTATTTAATTTATTTTTCTTTTTTTTCATTATCCATGATGTAGGTACTCTGAAATGGGTTGAGAAGATGAATTGGAAAGACGCAAATTTGTGGCACTACGCCTCCAGATATCCCCTAGTGGTGCAGGAGATCATAGAAGGTTATGAGAAATCTTACGGCAATTTCGCCATGTACTGGGTGAACAGAGCCGGTCACATGGTAAATAACTCGTATAAATTGAATTTCAATTATTGGTTGTAGAAATCGTGTTATTTATGAGAATTATTCCATCGTATAGGTACCAAAGGACAATCCAGCAGCAATGGCAAGGATACTGCAAAAACTCACGGAAGAATAAATCGAGTTACAAGTGATGAAACGACTCATTTGCAAGAAATGGAATTGAGGAATAAATTAAAATTCGTGTAAAATAAATAAGCGAGAAGAGCTACATACATAAATTTATACTTTTATCACATATTATTCCTTCGTCGATCAATTTCTCTCTCGCCTTAAGAAGACTTGAAAAATCTTCCAATCTCGAAAAATTGAATTACGTTATCGATATTGTTCCTCATCCATATATCATTGTACCAAAAAAAAAAAAAGAAAGAAAGAAAGAAAGAAGAGAAGGAAGGGGGAAAAAAACCTCAATCTCGATTCAATGTTATTCCTCATCCCATATATTCCAATAATATATATATATATACTGTCCAAAAAGGAAGAAAGAAGAGAAAAATTCGATTCGACGTTGTTTCTCGTTTATATTATTTCAATAATATACTATTCAAAAAAATTGGATCGTCAAACATCCCGATCCGTTGTTCCTCGTTTACGTTACAATATAATCTGCCAAACCTCCAAAAAGAGGGAGAAGGAAGGAAAGGAGGAAAAATTGGATTAATGAAGCGTCTCGATCCCAGCGCTACTCGTTTCCAGAGTCCATTTTAACGACGGGTAACGGTTATTTCCGAGAAAATTCGCCGTCACGAAAGGGGCGGTTCGTTATTTTTTGCAATTGAGCCGGGGCCCCGAGGCGGAGGTTCTGCTCGCGCTGTGAATTTTCCCACACTCGTAAAACGTCGCAGTAGCAACAATCCGAGACCGGCTAAACCCGCAGACGCCCGCCGATTTTGTCAATAAGGAACGATTGTTTAGATTCGAGCGGATACCGGGCAGTAAAACGGAACGGATCCGCAAACAAGACCGCCTGCGCTTGCGGGCCATTTCTCGCCAATGAAGGGGAAACCGCGGTTGCCCGAATCTGTAAATAAAACAAGAGGAGGAAAGGGACTACTTTCTCTGCTCTCCTCCTTCGACCTTCTCCCCTCGATTTCCTCCTATTTCTTTCCCCCCTTTCACGTTTTATCTCAAAAAAAAGGACGAATTTCCTTTTTTTTTTTTTTCCCCATTGAAGAGGAAAGAGTTTGGAAAGAGGATTTTTATTTTATGGAAGGAGAAACGAGAAACGATTCAACGATTCAATTTCGAGTCGATACGATGACACGGGTTGACTGTGACTCTCGTTCGAAAATTATTTTTACCATCTGCTTCTGCGGCTTCTATAAATGTTTTTCTTTACTTATACCATCGGGATGATTTAAGGAACGGAAAACAGGGGCGCAGGATTAACGCGACCAAGACAATTCTGGATGTTTTTCGAAGAACATACCGGGGATTCCCGCCACGCTCGAGCCAAGGTGGCGGCCCCCAAGCTTTGAACGCACGATAATCCGCCGGTTTCCTCCTGACGTCAGATCGCCGATGATTTGTTCCTTAATATTTCAAAATGGAACGAAGCCCGAAGGACGGAACCAGAAACGGTGAATAAACAAATAACCACGTTTCTTCTCCTGATCTCTCCATTTTCGGTTACGGTTGCTGTATATCCTCGCGCAAGCTGTGGCTTCGCCTCTTCACGAAAACACGATCGAAAGAATATTTTTAAGTTAATGGATCGTTAAAAATCAACGGAGAGAAGATTATTTCTCGTCATATTTTTCTTTATCGTATGAAAAAAAAAAACTAATAAAATGAAAAGAAAATTTAAACGTCAGACACGCAATAAAAGATTCGATGTAATAGATATTTGTTTGATTATGAAAAAAAAAAAAGAAACGAACGTTGAATATAATATAACAAAACAGAATAGCATCGATAATCTCGATATCATCGTTTTATTTCAACACCCAACCGATAATAATAAAATCATTAACAAAAATATATATATATATATAGAAACAAAACTAAAAAGAGTAAAAAATATTTAAAATTCTCTTATTTATCCCTTTTTTTTCCAACAGGAAAAAACGCGGAGTCGCGAAAGTTCGTGAGAAGAGGGTGGTTGAAAATTGGATATTCCTTCCCCCCCCCCTACCCCCAAGAAGTCACAAGTCGAGCTCGTGGGAGAGAGGGTGGCGAGAGCGGTTCCAAGAAGCGGCACGGTTTCGGTATAATTACCGCAACTTTGTTTACGTATCGGCTCGTTTACTGCCGGCGTGGGTGTTGGGACAGCATATGTGTAAACAGCAATAAAACATGTAGCCACGGGTCCCGGATAGGTAACCGACACCTCCCCCGCGTTTGAAACCCGCGAACGACGTATCTCCAGGAAGAAGCGATGGGCGGAGCTGGTCCATCCTCTGGATGGTGCTCCTCCGCGCGTCAAATTAAACACCCTTCGTTAGAGGATTGATCTGAACCGGTCGAAAGTTGGAATCAGTCTTCGATGCGATACCAACTCGGGCCAGTTCAAGATAAGATTCATATATGTACATATATATTTTTATAATTATATTGAAGATTGATTTTGGTGGATTTGGATCGTTTTACGAAAACCGTTAATTGTTCGTGGAAGTGAAGCGGTCTAAATAATCGTTGAATTGTATTGAGAGAGAATGCACGGTTCGGTTTTCTTTGGCGAGGATCTTTTTGTCAAAAGCTTGATCGATCTTTGAAGAAGAATCGCATTGGGGAGGCGAATTAATTGAAAATTATGAAACTATTTATTTGGAAAATTGTGGAAATCGCGATCGTGTTACAATTTTAAGTTGGGGATACCGGAACGAGGATCAATGGGGGACAATTTGCGGGGATACGATGAAACGAGAGGAAGAAGAAAGTGAAATTGTATATGTATATTAAATAAACTTCAACTCGGAGATAATTTTCGGGGAGAAATCTATAATCTGATTTCATTTCTTTTTTACGTATAATAATAAATAAGAAAGATAATAATAATTTTAATGTACGTAAGAAAGGGACGAATGGTAAAAGAGAGTGAAGTTGTGTCAAATTAGATAATAAAACTTCAGAAAATTAAATTAAAAAAAAAAAAATCCAATATCAATTCTTCTTAAAGAACAAGATATCGGTAAAAAGTGCGTTAAATCATCGAGCGCGTCGATCATTCCATCTTCCGATGGAGTCGAATAACTATCAAAATCATCCTTTCTCCATATCGAAGATTTACAGCTGTGATTTATCCAGAGGTTGCGAATTATGGAGCACGGAAGAGGCGTTCCCAACGATGTGTCCTTTGCCAAATTATTATAGCTTGGTACCGGATATAATAAATCCGAGAAGTATACCCCTATCATGGGATCTTCCCATAATAAGATACAAACCACAACCACGCTACGAGAAACCACCGTATTCGTACATTGCCCTAATAGCCATGGCTATTAATTCCTCGCCTAAACAGAGACTAACCCTTTCCGGAATTTATAGATTCATCATGGACAGATTTCCTTATTATAGAGAAAACCGTCAAGGATGGCAAAATAGTATAAGACATAACCTAAGTTTGAACGATTGCTTCGTGAAGATACCAAGAGACAAGGTGGTTGGGAACGATAACGCTGAGGATCAGGCTGGAAAAGGGAGTTATTGGACTTTAGATCCTTCAGCGAGCGAAATGTTTGAGCATGGTAATTATAGAAGAAGAAGAATGAGAAGACAAAAAGGATTTATACAGGACAAACAGATGGAACAGGATCGCACGATGGTCTCGGTACAAGTTAAATCATTTTTTTTTTCTTTTTTTTTCCTTCGATAGTAAAAAATTAATTTTATTCCAACTAAATGCTATAAAAAATTTTAAATGTGGAATATTTTTTTTTCCAAATTTTTTTACATTATTGATATTTTAGGTTTCATCGGAAATTTTGTCCAATTTGAAATGCAAAGAAAAAAATGAACAAGAGTATAAAACAGTTGATACGAAGAACGCTGAGGGGAATACACGAAATAGTAAAATAATATACACTGAAGCTCAAGGACATTGTGTAAAATCGATGATGTTCACAATCGAAAATATTTTGCGAAAATCCACGAATAAAACTCCAGTTTAAATAATTTTTTTGTACTAGATTTTAAAACGAATAATTAATATCATTATATTTTATAATTTGTACTATCAATGTACTGAAGCAAAAAGTGTAGACCATATTATTGAAAACACTTGTATAGAATATAAAATGAATACTGTTTATTATAAAAATGTGTTTATATTTTTAATTATACATTGGATATTGTGTACAAAGATTAAAAGTATTACTTAACGATTATTTTAAAATATGGTACATTATGTACAAAATTATATATTAACATGTATACAAGGAAGACATTATATATGTAAATTATTTTAATAATCTTGTGCATCAGCAAATAAAATTATTTTCGAATAAAAATGCATAACTATAATTTTTAGAATGCATACATTTCTAAAATGCAATTTTATTAGATTATATCTAATAAAATTAAATAACATTTAATATTCACATATCATATATTACATATATTACATATCATTAATATTAATACATATAGATCAAATATTAAATAAAACTATTTCTTAGCACTTGGATATATCAGAAAGTTTAAAAAAAACTTATTTGTATCAAATTTAAGAATATATAACATTATAAATTGTTATTCGAATTTTCTTATAATCTAACAAATCAATTTTTTAAATATTATTGTCTCACAGAGACATCATAGAATGTATTTTTAAAATTAATTAATTAATTTTTGATATTAAAAATGATTTTAAGCATTTGGATTTTTCCTCATTAATTCTAAATCAGCATCCATCATATCTTTTACAAGATTCTAAAACATGTATAATTCTATTTATTAAACACAAAACATTTAATTGGTAATTAAATATTTTAAAGCATAAGGATAAAGAATAATAATAATTGATGTATAAATACCTCAAATGTAATAGTAGGTTTCCAACCAATTTTTTCTTTTGCTTTAGTAGCATCACCCAAAAGTACATCCTATACAGATAAAATGAATATTTATCATATTTTTAATAATATTATAATAATATAATTATCGTTATTATGCAATAAATATTTACTACTTCCGTTGGACGGAAATATTTAGGATTCACTCTAACTAATACTTGTCCTGTTTGTATATCCTGTCCTATTTCATTTATTCCTTCACCTTCCCACTTAATGGTACGACCTACATATTGAAATGCTGCTTCCACAAATTCTCTAACACTATGTGTCTCTCCTGTTGCTATAACATAATCATCTGCTGTCGGTTGTTGCAACATTAACCACATTGCCTGTAAAATATAGTATACAAATCTCAGAATATCTATTTAGTAAGTAGTAGTAGTTCTATTTTTAATATTATAAAAAATAATACAAATAATATATATTTTTACTTCAACATAATCTTTTGCATGTCCCCAATCTCGTTTAGCATCTAAATTTCCTAATTCAAGAATGTCTTGTAAACCAAGATGTATCTTTGCTATAGATCTGGTCACTTTTCTTGTAACAAAATTCTCTCCTCTACGAGGACTTTCATGATTAAATAAAATACCATTACAAGCAAACATATTATATGCTTCTCTATAATTTATTACGATCCAAAAACTATATAATTTTGCACAAGCTGAAATTTTAATATGTTTAATTTAAAATTTATAAAATTATAAAATAATATTTTCATATAATCACCATATGGTGAACGAGGATAAAATGGAGTTTTTTCATTTTGAGGTACTTGAGTTACCCTGCCATAAAGTTCAGATGTTGATGCATGGTAAAATTTAACAGATTTTTCAAGGCCACAGGTACGTATTGCATCTAATAATCTAACTGTTCCTACTGCATCTACTTCAGCAGTATACTCACTTACTTCAAAACTTACCTTATAAAAAATAATAATCTATTAATATAAAATGTTTTTTGCATATCATTTAAAATTATAAAATTTGATATTTACCATAACATGACTTTGAGCAGCAAGATTATAAATTTCTGTTGGTTGTACAGAACTAATTACTTTAATTAAACTACTGGAATCTGTCATATCACCATAATGCAGCTTCATTTTGCCTTGACGATGACATTTTGGATCCTCATAAAGGTGTTGAATTCGAGCAGTATTAAAAGAGCTAGCTCTTCTAATTATACCATGTACGTCATATCCTTTTTCTAATAAAAATTCTGCTAAATAGGAACCATCCTAAAAAAAATTATGTTAGTCGTCTATTTTATGTTGAAATAAAATAAGATTTCTTTATACAATATAAAACAATAATATATATTGAAAATTAAATATTTGATACAATAAAGTAAATATGTCAACAAAGCATGAAATGTCAACTTTACTTGTCCAGTAATACCAGTAATTAATGCAACGCGTTTTCTACTATCAGTTGCCATTTTCATACACTATTTATCAAAAAATAAAAATTATTTTCACTTCCAAACTATATTTAATACTGATAAGATAATTCGTTAAATTTATTCGTGTGTAAAAAATATTTTCTTTCTTGGCCATCGAGTTTCCGAAGCGCTTTTATTACTAGTAAGGTGGCGCCGTTTTTCAACTATTTAAGAACATCGCTATAAAATAAATATCATGATTTTAACATATATTAAAATACATATATAATGCATATTAAGAATTTAAAAATTAATTTATCTAATCATTTCTAAAAATATAGTAATTTAAACATATATAGAAATTTAAGATAAATAGAAAGATTATATGTTATTATATTTTCCAAAAATTGTTGCCTTGATTCTCGTTTTCTACATATAAAAATATACATATGCATATACATATAACGTAATATAACAATATAATAATATAATAATATAATATTACAGTATAAGAATATATATAAAAAAAATTTTATATATATATATATATATAAAACTATTCTTTTTTTTCTATTAAAATTTCCAAATTTTGCAACATATTATAAAATGAACGATGAAATATTCGAAAATCTTTCTAGACTTCCGTAGATAAAAAACAAATATAAATAAAGAAAATAAATAATAAAATAAAGACAGAGATACGATAAAAATATTATAATCAACACCATCTTCAAACTATCACAAATAAAATATAAATATAAATGAAAAGAGCAAATCATAGAGAACATAGTGAATAAGAATTGATTATCAATGACATCTCTATTTTGAAAAAGATAATTTTTTTAAAGAGATATTTTTAGTTTTCAAAAGATGATCCTGACAATCAATTCTTATTTATAATAGAGAAAGATATATAATAGATAGACAATAGTTAAGAATTGACTACCAGTACCATCTTTTGAGATTCTTACAGAAAATATTTTCTGTAAGAACCTTATATTTTTTTGAAACATTCAAAGATGGCACTAATGGTTCTTATTTTATTTCTCTTTCATCATCTATTATCCTTGTTTGTAACAAATACTTCTTTGCTTCTTATGTATTTCTATTAACAGATCGAAACTTCCAACGTTCATCCATGAGATGATATTACTCAAATAGTTTATTTAAAAAAGAAATGAAGCAGCGATAATTTTATGTTCAAAAATGTAAAAACTATCATAAATAAATCTATATATATTTATCTATATATATATGTAATATATTTGTAAAATAAATATATGAATATAATTAAATATCGTATACTAAATATTTTATGGCTAAAATTTAATTTTATTTATTATACTTGTATATATATATTTAGATAAATAAGATAAGATAAAATAGAAAGTTTATTAAAAATTCATGTTTATATTATGTTTCAATAAAGTATTATTATATTAATAGAAATTCAAAATTTTAAATTATTTATTTTAATTTATTATTTTAATTTGTTATTATTTTATACTTATTTTATATTATTAATTTATTAAAAAGGAAAGATAAAAATAATTTAATTTATGATTTATTTTAACAATTATATTTTTAATTTAAAATTATTATATTTGAATTTAATAATTATCTATAATTTTTATTTTTTTTTTTACTTTAATTTAAATTATAATTGTAAATAATATTTTTATTTCTTTTAGAATAAATATTTTATTTGCGTATATATGGCAAAATAAATTTTTCATTATTGGTGTATTCTTGCAGAGCCAAATATAAATTAACCAATCAGACTTATGACAATCATTGAATATATATAACTCATTCATATAAGAAAATAATGCTGTTTTGCTTGCCATTTTAACTTCAAAGTGTATTGTCATTCAGTGTGAGAAGTGTTTGAAATTTATTTAATAAAAAATATTTTTAAAAATGGTTTTTTTAAGTGAAATTCCAGGAAGATCTTTATCAGATTATGCGACAGAAGGTGCAAAAATGAGAAATTTCAATCCTTATGCTGATAATGGAGGTAAGTTTTAAATATAACCTAATTTTTTTAAGATTAATATATAAATATTTTATTGTAAATATCTTAAATATTGTGCATTTATTATCTATTATAAATTTTATTACAATTTTATTTTTTTATATATTTTATATATATATATTATAATTATAGGAGTGTCATAGCTCTTGCAGGAGATAATTTTTGTGTAATAGCAGCAGACACGCGTCTCAGTACAGGTTTTTCTATTTATACGCGTGAACAACAAAAACTATTCCTTTATCATCAAAAACTGTTTTGGGTTGTTCAGGTTGTTGGTGTGATACACTTACTTTAACTAGAATTTTATCTGCTCGAATGCAGGTAAAAATATTTCAAAATATATTAGATGATAGAATTTATTAGTTTTTTTTGATTATTAAAATTAAATATTTATTATAACTTTATATATTATGATCTTCGTTTTATATAACAGATGTATGAGCATGAACATCAAAAAGAAATGCCAACACCAGCAGTTGCACAAATGCTATCAACAATGTTATATTATAAACGTTTTTTCCCTTATTATGTAAGTAATATTCTTGGTGGATTAGATGAAAATGGTAAAGGTTGTGTCTATAGTTATGATCCCATCGGACACTGTGAAATAACAAAATACAGAGCAGGTGGTTCTGCTGGAGCTCTTTTACAGCCTCTCTTGGATAATCAGGTATTAAACAAGTGTTATTAAAAAATTTTATTAAATTTCATTGTAATTTATTGTTAAAGTAATATACCTGTTTAGATTGGGTATAAAAATCAAGAAGGTGTTGAACCTGTTCCTTTGACTCAAGAGAGAGCTGTTGCAATTATAAAAGATGTTTTCACATCAGCAGCAGAAAGAGATATTTACACTGGTGATTCCATATTTATTAAAATTATAACAAGTGATGGTATACAAAATTTCAGTTTTGCATTGAGAAAAGATTAATGAAATGGAATAAAAATAATGTACTATTGAATTTCTATATGAATAAAATTAACACTAAAAAATAATTAATATTTATTTAATAATTTTTTATTTTTATATACAACTATTATAATTCTTATCATATTATACATTGAAATGAATGTGTATGTGTATGTATAAATGTTATCAAACCAATGATTTATATGCATACACATATTAATCTTTTATTTCTATTTGCATTAATACTATTTTATTTAGCCTACATTAATCAAATTCTAAAATATATTCATAAATGTATATCACAATAATAATAATCAAATGTATTTCAAAAATGTAACAAAATTGTATATAAATTAATCTATAAATTAATGTCTGCAATGTGAGAACTGAACACATAACATTTAAAATTAAATAAGAGTGTGCTTCTTGTATTTTATACATGAAGACATACTATAACAATTTACTTTATAATAAACAATAATATATTTAATAAAATAACATTTTATTTTAAAGAATATAATAAAATAACGAAAGTTGAAGAGTATGAGAATTGTTCTCAATCCTACAATTTTTCTTGCAGTTCTGTGTAGGGAACAATATATGAAGGTATGAAGTACAGATTCTTCTTCACAAAATTCACTTTTTATTCCCAGGAGTTGATAATGGTTTACCACGATCTTTGCCACGTAATTTTATTCCCAACACTCGTTCAATTTTGCCAATCACCATTTGATTTGGTATTCCACGACCTGCTTCATAGTCATTGATAACTTGTGCTTTTTCATTCACTTTCTGTACACAATATAATTATATAAATGATATACATATACATAACATAAATATTTATGCTATGTAAGTAAATAACATACTGTTGCAAGATCTTTTTGAGATAATCCTTTACTTTGTCTTCCTTGTTGAATTAATTTACCAAGATCAAGTGGAATTTTATCATGCTTCAATTCTTCTGTTTCTCTATCCAATTTAGCAGTGTTTTTAGTTGCTACGTGTTGTTTATTTGTTCCTCCACCCCCTAGCATAAAGAACAAATCATCTTTATATAATTTTCAAAAAATGATTTGTTGATTTTGTGAATTTTATGTTGTATTACAAAAAAAGATGTAAATAGTTGACAGAATTCATAATATCACATATTGCATCATAATATTACGTTCATAATATTTAAACACATGAATATATCTTCAACCAACAAAAATCATGAAATCAATCACAGATTAAAAAATGAATCACGTAAATTTAACAAACTTAATGAAGTTTACGTACATTTTGCTTGAGTTTCGACTACGAAACCTTGACGACGTGCAGCATTCACTGCCTGTAAATAAACACAATTACACAACAGTATATGTAAGAATTATTATAGATAAAATAGATCAAAATATTTTTATAAAAGTTACTTGTTCCGATTTAAGTACTGAAGCTTTTGGGGGACGTTTTCGCAGAGTAATAGGAGTAGTGTCCCAGTCTGACATATTGAAAAAAGTTGAATACGCCGATAGAAATTAAAAATTATATTATCAACGCACACGTAATATGCGGTAACTACTGTTCTGTCGTACTTGTTCCGAATCTTCCAGTAACTTCTCTGTATACGTTCCAAAAAGCATGATTTAACGTACAGTCTCAGAATCGACCCACATCCAGATTGTCCAATTTTCCCCAAATTATTTCAAATATATTTTTCAAGATATATAGTTTAATTTTATTTATGTAATTATAAATATTTATTTAAAATTTGTTAAATATTAATTTTTGCAATACATTGATTTGTTTTTTGTTAAAAGTATATACTATATATACAATCGCAATTAATTTTCTATATTCATGAAATGCGCGTAAATCAAATGACCGCGGTATTTAAATAATTATAAATATATTTAAAATTATAAATAACAAATTATAAATTCATATAATTATATTAATAGAATTATATAAATTCATTGATTTTCTTCTTTATGCAATAAAAATAATATAGATTTACTTATAGTGAAAATAAATATAAATAAAAGTATTTAATAATTTTTAATAGAAGAATAATTGTTAATTTTATTAAAATATTTATATTATTTTTTCATACATTACAGTAAAAATATAATAATAAATTATTTAAAAAGAATATTCATCAAAAATATTTTTTTTAATTAATTTTACTTAAAAATTATCTATATTAATTTTATTTAATTATATAGTTACATTTAATTCTTATAAAATTATCGTTAATTAAAAAAAGGGAATAAAATAAATTCACTATAATAATTAACAATATTCTTTTAAAATTATACTAATTCAACAAATGCATTACCAATCATAGCTGTTTGTTTTGCATGATTTGCTAAGTTACTGTGTCCCGTATTTTATATTGGTGATTTGGAATTCAGATTTATTTGAAATTTTTAAAACAAATGAGAAATGTCTTTCATTCGGACACTTTGGAAATGTAATTTTGGTCCTCGACTTTTCAAAGTTTATGAAATAACTTGGATCGGACGTTTAGTAGAAGTATGTATTAAAAAGTGTATCAAATTTATTAGACCAGTGTATTTTAGGTTATGTCTATATCAATTTATTTCAGAAATCATATGAGCCTAATAGTTTAGAACGCTGGGGCGATCAAATCGTAATTTGTGTAAGTATTTTATTATAAAAAAATATATTGTGTTATAATTCTTTCTTAATAAAAGAAAGATTAATTTTAACTTATTAGCAATATTAATAATAAAAATTGAATCATTATCAATTTTATAATTCAAATTAAAATTAAACAATGGAAAATATTCAATGCAAAATAATATTGTTAATAAATTTATTTTAGTTTGCAGCAATTTGGTCTATAAGCCTTTATACAATTCCATTAGTGGCTATCTTTTTCTATCAACATAGTATTTCTATAACTGAGAATATTTCTTCTTTGAGTAAATTAGCAGCTGGTGCTAGTGCAATTTTCATTGCAGCATTAACTGCTCGAGGTTGTTCTAGAGCCACTAATCCAGTATATTTAAAATTCTTAAAAACACTCAATGAAGCAAATGCACATTATAATGCAGAAACAAAACAAGAACTTGATAAATATGAATTTGAGTTTTGGGCAAGACCTGTAGATTTTAAGATTAACGATATAGAAAGGTATATTTCTTTTTCCTTTATTACAAAATAACATATATTTATCTTTTTAAATTAACTTTCTAAATTATTTTTATAAGAGATGCAACTAGAGAAAAGTTGACTTTAGAAAAAATTGCAGCCTCTAGTGGGCGCATAAAAAGGCAAACTGGTAAAGAATATATATTTACATTGCCTTGTAAGTTTTTATCATATATTGTAGCTCACACTTTTGCTATTAAGATGATATATCCTGGAAGTGTATCTGTTCTTAATTGGATATTTCGTAAGTTAAATGGATTATTATTAGAAACATATTATAAATTGTTAATAATATGTTATTTTTTCTTAATAATATAATATAATATTAATATAGGATCTACACTTCTACAAGGAAGAATACATTTAATAAAGCATGGTGGGGAAAGGTACAAATTGTTAACTGCAGATAAAAATGAAATTGACACTATATTTATTGACCAACGTAACAAGTAATGTAAACGTTAATAACGTTTTTTTTTTCTAAATATATTATTTTATGATATTATCTTTATACATATATATATTAACTTTATAGAACAACAAATGGCAATGTATTAGTTATTACTTGTGAAGGAAATTGTGGATTTTATGAAACTGGTATTAAATCAACTCCAATGAATAAAGGATATTCCATATTGGGTTGGAATCATCCAGGATTTGGTTGTAGTACTGTAAGTATTATTTTTATATTAAACTTTATAATTTATTTGTACTGATACTTTGATGAGAAGAATTGCTATTACTTTATCATACTTTGTTTTAAATTGCAAAGATGAAATTTTGGTAATGTTGCAGTTAATATCAATTATATATTTAAATTAAATGTAATTGAAGTAATGGCAAGACTTCTCATTCAGTCAAACTATGATTGTAAAATGATAACAGTAAGACATGAAAATGACTACAAAGGGTGCGCCGTATCCTCTCCAAGAAGAAAATGCTATCGATTGTGTAATGCGTTTTGCGATCGATTACTTAACATTTCCTGAGGAACAAATAATTCTTTATGGTTGGAGTATTGGTGGATATACTGCGACATGGGCTGCTATGAATTATCCTTCTATACAAAGTTTGGTAAGATTACTCCATTATTTATTTTATATATTAATTTACATAAAATATTTCAAAAATAAAATTACTGTAGTGAAAAATTATAGTAAGATATTTTATAGGTATTAGATGCTACATTTGATGATGTACTTCCATTAGCTATTATGACCATGTCTTCATCATTAGAGGGTTTAGTACGGAACATTATTAGGGATCACTTTAATTTGAATATTGCTGAACAATTAAATAGGTATTATAATATTCACTATAATATTGAATAATATATACATACATAAATATATAAATGAACACACAATTTTATATTTAAATATCATATATTTATATTTAAAATTTTAATATATTGTATATTATATATAAACAAATCATTTTTGTTTTTTTTTTTTTTTTTTAGATACAATGGCACAGTATTGCTTATACGAAGAACAGAAGATGAAGTAGTGTGTACACCTAGTGGTAATAGCTTATCAGGAAATCGAGGTAACATGTTGCTTACAAAATTTTTAATACGACGTTATCCAGAACTTTTTGCGGAAAATTCAGAATGTGCTGCGCTTTTAGCGAGATTTTTGTCTGCAGATATATCTACTAGAAGTAAGAAATCAATATTAAATATAAATTTTAAGTTAATCCTTCAATATTACATTGAAATAATATATTTTAATATTGATATTTACAGAATCAATAATTGAAACAGTGAACGTTGATGAAAAACAATGTTTAAATTTTGTTGCAAAGGATATAGAAAAGAATAATGGTATTATAAATTATCCTTCTATGCTTGGTCAAGACTGTGATTCTAAAATAAAACAACAGATCATTCTATTTCTGGTATGTAATTTTATAAAATTAACAGATG